AATGTGGCCCAAATGAAAGAACAGATCAACACTCCAAGAATAGAACTAAGCAGTGAAGAGATAGCCAACCTATCTGATGCACAGTTCGAAACACTGGTAATCAGGAAGCTCACAGAAATGGTTGAGTATGGTTGTAAAATAGAGGAAAAAGTGAAGGCTATGCAAAATTAAATAAAGAAACACATACAGGGAACCAACAGTGAAGGGAAGGAAACTGGGACTCAAATCAATGATCTGGAGCAGAAGGAAGAAATAAACATTCAGCCAGAACAGAAGGAAAAAAAGAATTCAAAAAATGAGATGCTTAGGAACCTCCGGGATAACTTTAAATGTTCCAACATCCGAATCATAGAGGTGCCAGAAGGAGAACAGGAAGAGCAAGAAATTGAAAACTTACTTGAAAAAATAATGAGAACTTCCCCAATCTGGCAAAGGAAATAGACTTCAGGAAATCCAAGAAGCTCAGAGAATCTCAAAGAAGTTGGACCCAAGGAAGCACACACCAAGACACATCATAATTACATTATCCAACATGAAAGATAAAGGAGAGAATCTTAAAAGCAGCAAGAGAAAAGGAGAAAAGGAGACCTACAAAGGAGTTCCCATATGAATACCAGATGATTTCTCAAAAGAAACCCTGCAGGCAAGAAGGGGCTGGAAAGAAGTATTCCAAGTCATGAAAGGCAAGAACCTACATCCACTATTACTCTATCCAGCAAAGCTATCATTTAAAATGGAAGGGCAGATAAAGTGCTTCCCAGATAAGTTCAAGTTAAAGGAGTTCATCATCACCAAAGCCCTTATTATATGAAATGTTAAAGGGACTTATCTAAGAATAAGAATAAGATCGAAACTATGAACAGTAAAATGACAACAAGCTCACAACTATCAACAACTGAACCTGAAAAACAAAAAGAAAAAACAAACCAAGCAAACAACTAGAACAGGAACAGAATTACAGAAATGGAGATCACATGGAGGGTTATCAGTGGGGAGGGGGATAACGGGGGAAAAGGTACAGGGAATAAGAAGCATAAATGGCAGGTAGAAAATAGATGGGGGGAAGTTAAGAATAGTATGGGAAATGTAGAAGCCAAAGAACTTATATGAACAATAAATGGACATGAGCTAAGGGGAGTAGGGGGGCAGGGAGGAAATGCTGGTGGGAGAGGGGGTTGCAGGACAGAGGGGAATAACGGGGAGAAAATAATGAGACAACTGTAATAGCATAATCAATAAAATATACTTTAAAATATTGACCTATAATGGTTAACACTATGGCATATTATAATAAAATTATTAGACTTTAAAGAAAAAATCCTTTGAGACAAAAAGAATATGTGACTCATACAGGGCAAATTAGATAATTGTCAGATTTTCCTTTTTTTATTGATGTTCAAATACAGTTCTCTCCATTTTCCCACCAATTGTCACCAATTGTCACAGACTTTTTGACACCAATGCTTTATGCAAGAAGAAAATGAAACTGATATATTTTAAGTAATCAAGAAAAGAACACATGAGCCAAAGCAAACTGACTGTTGACTCTCATGGACACAGACAAATTGTTATCAATAGGCAGGAACTCAGGGAATATTGTTCCCATGAGCCCTTCCTAAGAAATGCAACCAAACTGCTTAGATAGACATCAATATAGGGCCTGCTAGAGAGCACTATATATTAGTTACTTGTAGAACTGAGACCAAAGAGGGTTATAAGAGAGTGTACTATGTAAGGGCCATGTGATCTGACAGTGTAGATATTACAGTCATAGAACTGGGAGTGGAATTATTACTGAATAGCAGTTGGGGTCCTGCTGCCTGCCGCCACCCTCTAGGCAAAATTTCAGAGGCAGAAGTTTGGTGATAAAGGAAAGGATTCTTTATTCAAAAGCTGCACAATTTTGGAATAACAGCTTTCCACAGGCATTAGTCACTTAAGCCTATCAATTATGGCTAAACTCTGTAACTAGTTATAGCTTTAATCTCTTAAACCTATCAATTAAGGCTAACCTCTTTAATACCTGAGTTCTCCTATCATTCCCGTTAGTCTTTAATTATCTTATTTCTATAGGGTTTGTTTACAAACTAAAACAACATAAGATACAAAAGCTACACAGTTTTGGGAGAATGGCAGGCTTCTGCTTCAGAGCTCATCCCCTCTAGGACACTCAAAGAATAATAACCCTGCCCCCTCTGCCAGGCCACACCAATCCTAGACTGCACCCAGAGTTCCTTCCCGTCCAAAATACCATCCACTAGGCAGCTGCAGCACCATCATCCAGGCATCCTTGAGGAAGAAGAGAGAGAGCCAGCCAGCCAGAGGGACAGCCCAAGAACCCTTCTTTTATTTCAAATCTTCTAGCCCATAATTCCACACGCTCTGGAGGTGTTCAACTTCTCAGCCAATCTTTCCTGGGCTGTTTACCATTGCCTGTGACAACTTCCTCCTAGGGCCTCGCCCTACTCCTCTCCAGTGATCTGATCTGATCTCTCTATATCAGAATGAGGGCAGGATTTGCAAAAAAAAACTACTACTAATAATAATGAATTTAGAATTTATTTTAAAATATTTGAGAAAAAAATATTTTTTTTTTGACAACCAGTGTTCAAGGTACTGGGGATACCATGCTAAACAAACATTCCTGGGGCTGCTGACCTAAGAGAATTTACAATCTATTTTTATGGTTACTGATGATTTAATTCTCTTTTTCCAGATAGACTGTAAGCTTCTAGAGGGCACAGACCATATCTATGTTTGTTTAGCACTATATTCCCCACTACCTGTAGTATAATATGCCTTTAATAAAATTTTTCAAATAAGTGATTCAATCAATCAATCAGCATTTTAAGTATTGAGATACAAAGGTGAAGAAACATTGGATCCTGCTCTTAAAGACTCGCAGCCTAACGGAGGCTGATAAACAGATTCATCTATTTCTACGAATTGCAGTAAGTGCTGTTACAGTACTATACAGGTGCTAAAGAGAAACTGGCTGTTTCTGCAGGGGATGGGGTCTGAGAAGGTTTCAGGGAGGGTGTAGTGTTTGAGTTTGGCTGTTGAGGATAGATTGCAGGACAGAGGTTTATGGCTATTACAGGCAGATTAATGGCCCCTGAAGATGTCCAAATCCTAATCCATGAAACCTATGAATATGCTACTTTGCCTGGCAAAAGGGACTCCGCAGATGTGATTAAGTTAAGAATATTGAGATGGGAAAATTTTCCTGCTTTATATGAATTGGCCCAGTGAGATCACAAGAGTCTTCAGAAGAGGAAAGCATGACGTCAGGCAGGGAAATTTGAAGATGCTACGCTGCTGCCTTTGAAGACGGGGGAAGAGGCCCAGGAATGCAGACAGGGAAGGAAACAGATTCTGCCCTAGAGCCTCCAGAAGGAACCCAGCTCTGCCAACATCTTGGTTTTAGCCCTTTAAAATCCATTTCAGATTTCTGACCTCTGGAAGTAGAAGATAATAACTGTGTTGTTTTAGGCCACTGAGTTTGTGATATTTACAGCAACCGTAGGAAACTAATACAGCAGCCCATGACTTGAGACTTTCCTACAGGCCCTCATACTGTAAGGTTTCCTTAAACTCACCCGAAGTATGAATAGTCCAAAACACTATAATTGTTTGTAATTAGGTTCCCTTTTGTCCTACCCCACCCATCCTGACACATACATGCATTCATTCATTCAGTGCCAGGCACTGTCCTAAACATTGTCTCTCATAAAAAGAGAGACGGGGGCCCTACCCTCAAGGAACTTACATTTTAAGGAGGGTAGACAGCCAACAGACAACTCAAGAAATAACTTTAACAGGAAGTGCCACGATGAAGACAAAACAAGGTACTAGGGAAATGATTGCTGAGGTGGTGGGAAGAGTTATGGTAGACTGAATGGCTGGGGGCGGTTCTCTGAGGTGACATTGCCCTAAGCCTTGAATGATAACAAGAAGCCAGTTGTGTGTTGATCTGAGGGAAGAGCATTCGTGACTGAGCAACCAGCAAGGGCCAGGCCTTGAGGAAGGAATGGGCCCAGAATGTCTGAGGAACAAACAGAAGGTCCATGTGGCTGGAGCAGAGGATAATGGGTGGGAGGTCAGGGGAAAAGGAGAAGCCAGGTTGCTCAGAGGCTTGTGTCCACAGTAAGAAGTTGGGGTTTAATTTTAGTTGCAGGAGGCCATTGGAAGGATTCCAGTGGGAGAGTAATAGCATTGGATTTATTTTTTTTAATAATCCAGGCCCCGGCTAGTGTAACTCAGTGGATTAAGCGTGGGCCTGTGAAGCAAAGGGTCACCAGTTGGATTCCCAGTCAGGGCACATGCCTGGGTTTCAGGCCGGGTCCCCAGTAGGGGGCAAGAGGGAGGCAACCACGCATTGATGTTTCTCTCCCTCTCTTTCTCCCTCCTTTCCCTTCTCTCTAAAAATAAATAAATAAAATATGTAGAAATAATAAGAATAATAATCCAGTTTGTTGCTATATGGTGAGGGAACTGTTGAGGGAAGGCTAGAGGACCAGTTACAAGATCATTACTGTGATCCACGTGAGAGGCAACAGTGGCTTGGGCCAGTGTCACAACACTGACGAATAAAACTTCCTTACACCTGTCCTCCACTGTTGCCAGTTTCTTGGAGTTCCTTCTAGGAGTGTTCCATGTACAAACATAACAAATGCATTTTTATACGTTTATTCACTTTTTATTTTTATTTTTAAAATATTTTATGTATTGATTTTTAGAGGGAAAGAAAGGGAGAAAGAGAGGGAGAGAAACATCCATGCGAGAGAAAAACATCAATCGGTTGCCTCTGGACGCAGCCCAACTGGGGCCGAAACCGTGACCTAGGCATGCGCCCTGACCGGGATCAAACCAATGACCTTTTGTTTTGTGGGACGACATCTAACCAACTGGACCACCAGTCAACAAATGCATTTTTTTTAAGTGGCCTCACATTTATTAATGAACCAACCTACTACTGAAGGAAAAATGTCAAGAAAAAAAATCCAATTTCCAATAAAATGCCAAACTGTCCCCACAGCGGTGGTCTTTTCTGTGACTTCAAGAGGCAGACAACACGATAGAGCGTAAATATGAGACATCTCTGATGTGCCCTTCCTTATAGACCCAGTTTGGTTCTTCTCCAATGTCTCCTCTTGGAGTTATACCTGATTTTATTACCAGTTTTCATCTGAATCCACTGGGGAATGGGCTGATTCTGCTTTTGTTTCTTGGCCAGGAACCTCTTGATCCTGAAAGTCTTGTGAGAAGACATGGCAAAGAAGAACAAACCTCACGGACCACAATGGCGGAGAGAGAGAGAGGGAGGAAGCCAACAAATGCATTTTTAAAAATATTTTTTATTTATTGATTTTGAGAGAGAGAGAAACATTGATTTGTTGTTCCATTTACTTATGCATTCATTGGTTGCTTCTTGTATTGTGCCCTGACCAGAGATCGGACCTGCAACCTTGATGAGTTGGGACGATGCTCTAATGAACTAAGCTACCCACCCAGGGCAGCAAATGATTTATAATTATTTTAAAATAGAATTTAGAAAGGTTAGCAGGTATGTATCCTGCTTATAGAGTCAGAGAGGGTGTGTTGTGTTTATACAGATATGATTGATCATCTTTCCTAGATAAAATTATCCCTGGGGTAGATAGGGGCAATTTACTACTTCAGCCCTGATCCTATGCTGATTAAACAGCCCCAAAGTATATTACTTTTATACTTTGGGACTGTCTCAAGGAAGTGACTGATGTTACTTCTTTTACTGGGGATGGGTGCCCTTAGAAATAAGGAGATTGGCACCTTGGCTTAGAAGGCAGCTGGGCAAAGGATAAAGAAGACAAATTTTAGAATTAGGTCCAATCTGGGTTTTGCAACTTGGGTGTATTTAAAGAGACAGAAATGGGCCCTGTCTGGTGTGGTTCCGTGGATTGAGCGCCAGCCTGAGAACCAAAAGATCAACAGTTTGATTTCTACAGCGCACATGTCCGGGTTGTGGGCCAGGTCCCCAGTTAGGGGTATTAGAGAGGCAACTGATCGATGTTTCTCTCCCTCTCTTTCTCCCTCCCTCCCCTCCCTCCAAAAAAATAAATAAAATCTTTAAAGATACAAAAATGGGGCCCTTTCCCCAGCTGCTACTAAGGTGCTCAGTAGCTGCGTTGGGATGAGGCCCTCACTTCATCCAGGGATTAGCCCCTCTCCAGGCAGCTCTGGCCCAGCTCTCACCCACACCATGTGCTCCCTGTCTCAGGAGCTGGCCTACACCTACTCAGCCCTTACCCTGCATGACAACGAAGTGCCGGTGATGGAGGGCATCAATGTCCTCATTTAAAGCAGCTGGTGTAAATGTTGAACCTTTCTGGCCAGGCTTCTTTGCAAAGGCTCTGGCTAATGTCAGCATTGGGACCCTCATCTGCAATAGAGGGGCTGGAGAACCTGCCCCAAGCAGCTAGTGCTGCAAGAACAGAAGGCCCTGCTCCCTCCACCACTGCTGCCCCAGCTGAGGAGAAGAAAAGTGGAAGCAAAGAATATAGAATCTGAGGAGTCTGATGATGACATGCGCTTTGGTCTTTTTCACTAAACATCTTTGTAGCACACACAATAAAAAGCTGAACTCTGAAAAAAAATTTTTTTTAAAGACATAGAAATAGGGAAGCAGGAGTGACCATAAAACCATGACCTTTGTACAGAAGGCAGAAAACACTGGGACTGTGCTAGAGTTGGGAAGTAAAGGCACTGAGGCTGCCCTGGCTGGTGTGGCTCAGTTAGTTGGACATCATCCTGCAAATGGTCCTGGGTTAGATTTCCAGTCAGGGCTCATGCCTGGTTTGCAGGTTTGGTCCCCAGTCAGGGAACATGCAAGAGGCAACTGGTTGATGTTTTTCTCACATTAATGTTTCTTTCCCTTTCTTTCTTCCTCTCTCTCTCTCTAGAATCAGTAAAAGAAAAAAAAGAAGAAATTAAGGGCACGGGGGCAGGTGGCACCAAGCCTGCATGTCATGCCAATGGAACAGCAGGGCTGGGAAGGAAAGTCCTTGGAGGACCTTGGCAGCAAAAATCTAAGCTCTAGTGTTCAGTGGACATTCTGGATAAATGACATAGGGGTCCTCAACTTTTTTTCTCTCACTTTTTTTTTGAAAAACATTTATTTCTGTAAACTGGTTTTTTTTTTAGATTTTATTTCTTTATTTTTAGAGAGAAGGGAAGGAGAAAGAGGGAGAGAAACATCAATGTGTGATTGTCTCTCATGTGCCCCCTATTGGGGACTTGGCCTGCAGCCCAGGGATGTGCCCTGACTGGGAATCGAACTGTCGACCCTTTGGTCTGCAGGCCCATGCTCGATCCACTGAGTTTATACCAACCGGGGCTCTCTGTAAACTGTTTGAGTTCAGATGTTCTTCACAATCCCAATATGGTACCAATTTCTTCCCCCAAATGAAATGAGCAAGGAAAATGAAAAAGAGAACAATATAAAATATGCTCATGAAGAACCAAGCCAATCTTATCTTTCTTTGAAAAAAAAAAATCCTTCGAATGTGTGGTGCAGATGTAGGATTAAAACCACAGGTGTTTTGGTCTCCCCAAGGCCAGGCGGCGCTGCACACACAGCTAAGATGGCAGAGAGGCCCTCTGGCCCTCGCTGTCCCTGCTGTTGGCAGACGACCTTCTCGAAAGTAAGGAATTCGTTCCCAGTTCTACCTACATTCCTGTTCCACACCTGGGCCCCTTTCCCTAATAATGTGCTCTAAAGTTAACCCTGAAAGACTCCTGTCAAATCTGCACTCAGACCTTTGCCTCCACTCCATGCCATAGTGGGACTTCAATCAAAAAAGTGGGGAAGCGAGTGCCAGGCAAATTTTATCTGTACTTACGTTTGAGTCAGGCCTACACTTCCTACCACCGAGCACCATCTCTGTAGCTTAGGCAACTTTGAATGAGGTGGGTGAGGGACCCTGGAGCACATTCTAGGAGGTCTGGGCCTGACACCTGCGGTGAACACGTGTGCTTAAGGAGGCCAATGTTGGGGGCGTTGCTCCAGGCACAGCTGTCCCCTCAGCTCTAGGTGGGCGGGCCTGCCGAGGAAAACTAAGACCGCAGTACTGGCTTGGGCTTCAGAGCAACATGAGGTCGTGGCAGAGGAGGCCAGGCAGGCTAGGAGAAATGCCAGGAAAAGGGATCACCACTGGGGGAGCCAAGATCTGACCTCGGCATCATGATGAATTTTCTTCAGAACAAGAAAGAGGGAGACAAAAGAACAAGAAGATGAAAGATGTTACTTGAACTTTGCGAGATGGGACATAACAGGGCTCATGAGGGATGCCGGGAAGGTGAGCTGGGTTGTGGCAGGGTGTTGCTTCTCCTTGCGTCTCCTCTTCCTGGTGGGCTAGAGCAGGCAAATGACTTTGGCAAGATGCAGGGAGGGCCGGAGTGACTCGGTCTGGGCACCATAATTGGCCCCCCCCCCACCCCGCCCCGGCCTTCTTGAGCTCGCTCTTGATGAAATCTTCCTCCAGTTCCTTCTGATCACTGACCACAAACTCTTTAGCGAAAATCTGCATGACCTTCTTCACCAGGGTCTTGTCTGAGCCGGTTTTGGCTCACTGCAGCCCGCTGACTTTTTCGTGGATCCATGAGATGAGGGTGAACTTGGACCTCTTGCTCATGGTGACCCCAGTGGTGAAGCGCACAAAGCGAACAACGGATGTCATCTGTGTACTGTTGAATGAAGTCCTGATTTTCCGCTCCCTGCTCGCCGGGGATGATGGTGGAGCCGTCATATCTAAGTCACCCAGAAGATGGCCAAGTTGTCGCGCACCAGACTGTACGCCTCCCGGCAAGCGTCTTTGTCCATCTTGGTGGCTATCGTTCAGGGCTGCAGCGCGGACACTCTGCCCAAAGAAACTGAGCGTGCCCCCGGGCCAGCCGAATCGGAGCGCTGCAGGGTCACGCGAAAAGCTGACAGGAGAGCACGGCGGGGGAAGGCGACGGCTAGAGCGCCGCATGGTAGCAAGCTCCAAGCTTCCAGCGCCTCGGTGGCTGCAAGTGCAACAGAGCGCGCTCCTGGCCCCAGGGGCCCTCAACTTTTCTATGCTCAGCTTTTGATACCAGCACTTTGTGCACACTATATATTTGCACCCTCAACCTCTTTTTGAAAAGTCCATTGATTTTTGACAGAAGTGCAAAGGTAATTCGATAGGGGGAAAAACATGTCTTTTCAACACGTGGTTTTTGGCTACATGTGGCTACATGATGATGATGCTTCTTAACAGTCAGCAGTTTGGTTTCTGCAGCGTCATCTTTGCTTTTGGAGCTGCTCTGCAATTATAAAATTTAAGTCGTGTATGTGTGGAGTTGGGTGGGGTTTCCCGTATTTTTCAAACTGTGTTCCTGGGAACTCTGTTTCAGAGCACCCCACAGATGCGTATACATACTGCTTCAGCAAAAACAAAACTTTAACCAGTTACATACTGAGCTTCAGAGAAATGCTCACTTGAATATAAGATTCTGCCACCGAAGAAATGGAAACCAAAGATAATGATTCTCAAAAGAAAAGAAAAATGGAAAACCACAGTTTCCCCTGCACTTGGCAATTTTATAAGAATTAGTGGATAACAGAAAATGAAAGTTCTGATCTGGCGATAGAAAACAAACAGGTATAGCGAAAGAGCAGTGAGTCCTCAGCTTCAGTGGAAATTATGCCAGTCAGTTCTTGCAGTGTAAAAGGCAGGCTCAGCATCAAAGGGAATGTCTGAAATGCCAGGAATGTGTCATCAAAGATTGGATCTACAAAAGAGATGTATGAAGAATTGAGATAGCAGGAGATGAAATAATGACTCTAAGTGCCTAGCAGAGAGTACTAACGGGTAACTTATTGTGCACTTAGTGTGTGCCAGCTGCTATACTAAGTGCTTTGTACATATTGTTAGACAGGACAAGGGTCTCAAAAGCTGGATAGTTCTTCCTAAATGCTATTATTTTAAAAAATATTTATTTTAGAGCGAGGGGAAGGGAGGGAGAGAGGAACAGAAACATCTATGTGAAAGGGAAACATCAATTGGTTGCTTCTCATACATGACCAAACCCACAACCCAGGCATGTGTCCCAATCAGGGATCAAACCTGTGAACTTTCATTTTGTAGATGACACCCAGCCAACAGAACCACACAGGCCAGGGCACTAAATGCTGTTCTTGCTAAATGTTAATATGTAGTCTAGTATGCAGCTGTAAACAGGATGAGTTTGACAGGACCCGAACCTGATAAGTGCAGTAAACTGCAAAGAAGAAATCAACATGTAT